AACTGTGCAACTTGAACTAAGCTTGAACTATGCAGGTCGTACTCGAACTAGATATAAGCGACGTACTCGAACTTGAAATATGCGACGTACTCGAACTATAACATGCGACGTACTCGAACTTGATCAGAATACTTGGTTTTTTTCATACCTGGACCTTGCCGAACTAATTTTCACCAATACAACTGTTTGTACTATAATGCAACTTTTGCATGACCTATGATTGTGTTTTGTCCATTTTACTGGCGACGAAGGACCATGTTTCTGATCCTTAGGGAAGAAATTAGCAATTGAATAAAAATATGTCTTGAAATAAAATAATTGTATTTTCTTGAGTTTTTATCAACAGAAATTAAGTCTCCATAGTAACAATATAATAACATGACACAATGAAAAAGAGTAGATAAAAATGACCATAAACAATCTTCGAACAACAAACGTACATACCGCATACGGATAGAGTTGCTGTCCTCAGGTGCGGTTGTAGTAGCACCAGTACTAGTAGAAGGAAACGACGTCGGACAATCAAAAGTATCCATTATAAGGGAACTTGAAGAATAGTCACTACCGTGATATGTATCCATGAAGCCCGGCATGGTGTGTATGTGCACAAACAAAATGAACCAAAGCTTATATACCCAAATAAGGAAGATGCAACATGATGCAATTTACGAATTAATTCGCAACACGCGAAAAACTAAATTATAAATCAAAAAGTAACGACCGACAGATAATAATCTATAAAAATGCAAATGCACTTAAAAAACTTGATTGTGGTCAAGAAGGTAATAAAAAACAGACCGTGACCTTTTAGTACAGTCATTTGGTAGTTTTACCTGGAAAGTTTTCCGGGAGTTTTGAAAATTGGTAATTTTATAGATTTTGAGGTGCTCTTTCCGAATTTCGACTTTGCCACCTCGTACTTTTGCCGCTCGCGCCGCCATATTGAAAAAATGGCGCCTAAAAGCAGTTTTTTGACAATATCTCCTTTCCAACTCATTTCACGATAAAAACAGTTATTACAAAATGAAACTAGAGACAATTGCCTACAATTTATGTATCTACCCTTTTTTTCATAAAGTCAGTAGTTTTGGCGTACGAGCGCCGGAAAGTGTACTCCAACGCGCGCTTTGGTCATTACTCATTATTCATGCAACCTGTGGCATTTAATTTCAACTCATTATATTTGTGAGTTGTAAAATTAATATAAATCTAAACTATACTGACTATAGACATTATATTATACTATAATAGACCCATGATGTAGATGAAATACCAGTCTGAGACGTTTCGATTGGTACTACAGACGATGAATTTGCAACACCTGGTCCATCGAGAACAACAAAGCGAAGGAGAATACGCTAAATTTTAGCACATTGAATTGCATGTGGATAAGGCCTATTGGGGATACCACATTAAAAAAAACGCGCCACTTATTCTAACTCAAGGTGGTGTGGAAATGAGTTTTTGGCCAAAATGCGCGTTGGAGTACACTTTACGGCGCTCGTACGCCAAAACTATTGACTTTATGAAAAAAAGGTAGATACATAAATTGTAGGCAATTGTCTCTAGTTTCATTTTGTAGTAACTGTTTTTATCGTAAAATGAGTTGGAAAGGAGATATTGTCAAAAAACTGCTTTTAGGTGCCATTTTTCCAATATGGCGGCGCGAGCGGCAAAAATACGAAGTGGCAAAGTCTAAATTCCGAAAGAACACCTCAAAATTTATAAAATTACCAATTTTCAAAACTCCCGGAAAACTTTAAAGGTAACCACTATATTTCTTACCAAATGACTGTACTATTTTAAAAAAGCAGAAATTAAATATCGTAAAGAAGGTAATAATTATAAATCAAAAAGTAACGATCGACGATTCTAAGAAAAATAATTGACAACTGTTTGTCTCATTATTGAATAATCCTAATACACTCGGCGTCAAAAACATCAGACCTCGGCGAAAATTCATTCAATTTCATTCATTTCAAACATTATTATAACCCTTTAATCAGTTTATAGTAAGTATTTGCTTTAAATGCGTTAAATTAACAAACATTCATTATATAGATACCTGTCGTAAAAACGACACTTTACATACTACATATAAGTATTTTTATCCCATTTTTTCACAGAGCTCTGCGGCAACTTGACTTTTCAATGGTCCGCGCGTGACTGTGAACCAAGAAGTGTTTAAGTGGTGTTCAAGCACTTCTTGATTGGGACACATTTTGAGCGCACGTGGTGTATCTATTGTATTTAATATCTTTGTGGGAGCGGGATCACGAGACCCGAACCTTTCGTTTCAAATGGTCCCAGAGATGCTCTATCGGGTTCAGATCTGGACTCTTGCTGGACACTGCATGACAGAGATCCCAACCTCTTGAAGGTAGTCGCAAACAATTAATGCAGTGTAAGTGCGAGCTTTATAGTGCATTAATGTGAACCCCTCGCCAACAAAACCGGCATAGGGGACCACATGCTCTTCCAGGATCTCTGTGACGTAGTAAGCAGTTAGCGACCCTTGCCCACGAGCACCTTCAGTCCAGGAGACACTTACAAGGCCGTTTTACCGACAGCCAACATGCCGCCCCAAAACATACCGTATTCCACCGTCTCCAGGATGCAGGCTTGGGCGAAACGTTCCCCCTGTCTTCTGTAAACTCTTCTGCGTCTATCGTTGCAGAAAAGGCACACTCTCGTCTCGTCTGAGAACAGGTCTCCATTGGACAAGGGTCTAATTGACGTGGTAGCGAGTTAACTGCAAGTGGGCTAGCCAATGCTCAGCGGTCAATTTTGGACCCTTAGCAGCTCTATGAGCCGCTATCTTTTTATCCCTCAGTTTTCGTCTAAGCATAGAAACGCTCACAGTTGTTTTGCGAGCTGCCTGGGGCTGCTGTTGCATATCAACAGCATTAGAGACCCGATTTTTTAGAGATTTAGTCTATACGATGAATCGGTCGTCTCTCTACGAGGTGCAGCGACGTCTACCAGACCAATGCCTCCGGATATGGCCACTGGTCTCCAGGAACCGCTGGTATACTCTACGAACTGAAAAACGGCTCAAGTTCAGTTGCCGAGCGATATCACACTGCCGCATCCCTGATTGCAGTAGTGCAATCACTCACGGCTTAATCAGCAGTAGTATTCATCTTCATGGTGGCTATTTTTGTGTAAATTCTTCTCGCATGTCCTCTTCTTCAGTTGGATAGCGAACAAACCCAACTGTTTTTGTTTTTTTTAAGTTTATTTACTGGGCTTTCAAATGACACTAATAGTAGTGGGGGATACATGCGCGTGTTAAGGGTGTAACGAGTTAAAAACGTCACATAAGTTTTGTTTGGTTGAAGAGAGAGATAGAAGGCCTCTGTTTACTCCCTCATCCTCCTTTATCATAGATCGTTTTCGCTGGTCCATGCGTTTTTTTTTATTTTCTGTGGCTTAACAAGGCCTTATCTAGACTGATTCCTTTGCTTGTCTTTTGGAAGGAACAAAAAGGAATAAAATTTTAAAATTACTTCACAACAAAATTCTTTACATTGAACAAGAGTTTTTTTTTAATCTTATTCAATATTTAGATAATCCTTATGATTATCAATAATTTTTAATGCAGGAGACCTAAGTTTGCCGTGGAGCTGCTTTGCTTTGTTTGCTGTTGGCCTATTTGTTAACTTTCTTTAAAAACCGCCGTAGGAGTTTTTATTAATTATGCTTTAGAAAATTTTATGTTGGGCCATGAAATAACCCTTTGTCATCATTACATCGGAGCGTGGCTCCATACATACATTCAACTCAACACATAACAAAGATAGAGCAGGGACAGTAAGGGTAAATGAATACCTATATATACTAATAAGGACATACATTATTAAAGGAAAACTTTTTTAACGAATTTCTCAAGCAAAAAGTGAATCATCCTGTTTTTACTCGTGCTATTGCTCGAAACCAACTTTGTACGAAGCGAGCAAATAACGTGTATGGTAGGAGAACTACTGCCTTCCTAGTCCCGCGTATGATTAACGAACTACCCGCGGATTTAGTCAATTGTCTAACACCGTTGAATGCTAAATACAAGTTGAAAGACTATTATTATAATACCTTGGAATGCACCTAACTGTATCCTATAAACACAGTACTTTGTATTTAATTTACTATTTAAGCTAGTCCCTGGCGTGTAATTAGCATTGCTACAAACCTCTGTGGTTTTTCTAATGCTGTAAATATAAAATTGTAACTACTGTTTATAATGATAAATAAATTAAAAAAAAAAAACATACTAATACTGGTAAGAGAAAATTATTCCTATTGTAAAATTCAGGTAAAGATTATATATATATAACAGGATAATTGGACCTAGCTTCTAAATTCAAGAAAATCATAGGCAAATAGTTAGAAATAATAGTTCAATATATAGTCAACGGAAAGTGAGTTTGGATTTTGCTTCAACACTACTTGCGATTTAAAGTTTAATGCTCTTCTGGCGAGTCTATTGAGATAGGTCTGGCACCTGAGTACTTTTTTGATTTAATTACGACCTATCCATATTGCTTCAAAACAATATTTGTTTTGCCCACATAAAACCCCTTTTTTATAAGACAAGGGTTAATAACACTTGAAAGTTATTATGGCAGAGGTGCAATTTTTTTGATGCTCAGTGTTTGTAAAACTGAGTTTGTATGTTTGTCACTCCCTCATGGAAAACTGCTAAATGGATATGGACGAAATTTGGCAAGCATATAATAGTATATGACCTGGAATGAGACATATGATACTTTTTATCCCCCGTCAAATGTCAGGTTCTGCTGAGATTCTCAAACAACTAATTATAAGGCGGAAGAAGTCACAGGCAGCCATTAGTTAATGAACGTTTTCTTGTGTTCATTCATACATTTTACTACGATAATATAATTATTTCGACAGCGGGTTGTTTAAGGGCTCCTCTCCATATTGAAATAATTTTTAATTTTTTTTTTCTTTGTCGGTTTGGAAAAAAATACATTATAATATACCTGTAAGCGGGGGCTCCAGTCCTGCTGTATCATAGAAACATACTCGTTCTTTCGTACCCCTGTCCGTCTCAATATTGGCCACGTATATATCCTCGATTGTCGAGTAAAAAGAAGACTTCAGGGTCACGTTACCGTAGATCAGTTGCTCCAATATAGCAGTTTTACCGATGCCCTTCATACCGCAGATCACAACTTTGCTCGATTTGCCCATTTTTTATACAATTTACTAGGAAATTACCAATAGAAAATTACACTTTCACCCACTTCATTCAGTATATATAAACTAATGTACTTTATATTAATTAACATGTCATTATTCGTTTTGCTTATCTATTTATTTCGATAAAGACAAAATTTTATTTAAGGTATCTTATTTATTTTTTCAAATCAGAACTCCGCTGACATTGTGGATGACAACAAACAGAATCCGAGAAACCAACAAAACAAAGCAAATGTCATTTTTTGTAACGTTTTTTTTAAGATTCTCCCTTTTAAGGGAAGGTAAAGGGAACATTGCCCATACAGCTTAGTCTTTAGTGAGATTAATCTTCTTTTTTTTACCCGACTGCGCATTGCAAGAGCGCGAAATGCAACGCGCAGATAGAGTGTAGTGTTTAACAGTCCATATATGTATGAATGGTCCTTTGTGGCACACTAAAGACCAAAAGCCTGGACCGATTTTCATAATTCATACATAATCGATTAGTCTCAATCATGGGAGTGCTACTAAAGATATGATAGTAATCAAAATTCAATATGGGGAAAATTAGACGCCATATAGTGACGAAGTAAAAATATAAGTTGACGAAATATGTCGAGTGGGGTCCTTACGCCATTTTTCATTTTATATGACTGTTTAGGATCTTTAACGCTTTAAAGTTGTATTTTAAGCACTGGCGCTTTTAATTTCAATCTTACGTTTGTATGGATCTTTCTTACTCTTTCACCTAAAAAAATCTAAATGGATTTTAATGAAATTTAACAATAACATAGCTCATTTATGATAATAACAATATATAATAATTTATGTAGTTATTGAGTGAATTGGTCAATATATAACAATAATTGACACGTAAGACGGAAAAGAATCTCCAATCAGCGAGCCATTTGGCCTGCACTGCAAAAACAATAAAAGTTACATGAATATAATCTAGAGCGAAAATGTATCTCATAAATAGTTCTACAAAAAAGTCCGCGACACCATATATGTATAAGCCATTACCGTTAAAATAGTGAATCAAAAATAAAATATTATTTGACATCTATTTCCAAAATTCTCATTTTGTATTAACAAATTATTTTTTATCACAACAAATACTTTTATCGCTTTTGATATTTAAAGACGATAAACTTAGGTTGTATGGGCATTGTTCCCTTTGCCTTCCTTAAAAAGAGAGAACGTTAAAAAATCATGTTTAGTCTGTCATTCTGCAATTTGACAGCATGGCATCAACAGCGTTAGATTCAGAAATCACAAAAAGTGATAAATATTCCATATTATTGCCTACATACAATGAAAGGGAAAATTTACCTATAATAATATGGCTCATAATGAAATATCTAGGTAACAGGTACTGTTTATTATCCTTTATTTAGCTCAATATCTGTGTTTCTATTTCTCTGTTTGAGAATTCATAATTTTATGTCTTTTCATGTGTTATTATCATGTTTTCTAGCGGTTATGACTTCGAAGTGATTATTATTGATGATGGAAGTCCAGACGGTACATTGGAAGTAGCGAAACAACTTCAACAAATCTATGGGACTTCAAAGATATTATTGCGCCCTAGAGAAAAGAAGTTGGGACTGGGTACCGCCTATATCCACGGAATGAAGCACGCCACGGGAAACTTTATTATTATAATGGATTCAGATTTAAGTCACCATGTAAGCACCTAGTCTTTAATTTAGGCATACTTAAAGACTTATGTATTAAGTTCTTAAACAAATTCCACACATCTCGCATCAAATATTTAGCCCACACTTAAATAAAGAGAAGAAGAGCTGATATTATCGTTGCTCAATGACAAATATAATACATAGATAAGTAAACACTCAACACATTATATCCCACATTATTACTAATATCAGGAGTAAGCATTTTTGAAGTGAAAACTTCTTTAGTATCGTTGTGACTTGAGATTCAATGAAACGAAAGAGTATTTGATACAAGGTAGGTATATGTAATTTAGTTGCTACTTTAAAAAAAATAACGTCAGTACGTCCTCACAAAATTACTTGCCTTTTTTATTTACTTTCTATCACTTATACAAATTTATATGTTTGTCAAAATGATGATAAAAAGTCCTCACTTCATTACAAAAATAAACTACCTACTTGCCATATGTTTGAAACTGAACTTTTCAGTATTGTATTAATTATGCTAGGCAAACTTAAATATTCATAAATAATGTTCCAAACATTTAAAATAGCGCTGGTAAAATAACATTGGCTGAGCTCAGGATCGAATCACTGATCTTTTGGTATGAACTCCAAGATCGATCTCGTTCGGCTATCGCATGTGAACAGAACTTATCTTAGTGTTTCAGTTTTTGGTGATTTATATCTGATTGTATTGATAACTTTTTTTCATTAACAGCCCAAATTTATCCCGAAGTTCATAGAGCTGCAACAGGAACATGACTATGACCTTGTCTCCGGCACGAGGTACAAAGGTGATGGTGGTGTCTATGGTTGGGATTTCAAAAGGAAGCTCATCTCGCGCGGTGCCAACTTTGTGACTCAGCTACTGCTCCGGCCAGGAGCATCAGACTTGACTGGCTCATTTAGGTAGAAATCATTAGCTATAAAATTTTATAAATTAATAATCTGTAAGGTGTACCATAGATTTCTGGAGCACTGTTCTTATTCTGTGCTCTTGATATTAGGGGATAAAGGTCAAAATGGACCCTATCATATAGCCACAGTCCATCTGTCTGTCAGCAAGCTGTATGTCACAATCAAAGCTAGACAGTTAATATAAAACAAGCAGAGTGTGTATTTCTATTGCTATTGATTAAAACAAAAAAAATGAATGAAATGCAGAAAGAAACTTTTTTTGTGACCAGTTTCTTTATTTTTACATCAGAAGGAAATCAATTATTTATTCATTTTATCATTAACATCATATATTCTGAAGAAAAATAACATCATAGTGGAAATTTGTTTAGTAATTGAAAGAAAAACTTAGGTAAATCTGCTTCCGGAGATGAGTCCTGTAGAAAACTAGGTTTTGGATTAACCGCATTTCCCACTTGACAAGAACTAAAAAAATGTGATATTTCAGGTTGTACAAAAAGGATGTGCTACAAAAGCTGATAGACAGTTGTGTGTCCAAGGGTTACGTCTTCCAAATGGAAATGATAATAAGGTAAATTGCCTTCATCTTTAATGAGAATCCGTAACATTTAATTTTAGTTGAGAATGCAGATTTATAGAGCTAAGGATTCCATACAAAATACAGTGGTAAATTTTTGTTCTACAACAAATATTGACGAAGTTATGAACAAATTACTAAACCAATTTTCGGCTGGCTGCGTGGCGGCTGTGACGTCACAGAGCTCTAGCTCAAGCGTGCGTAGAGATGCTACTGAAGTTACACCGAAGTGAACCAGAACGAGCTCTGTGACGTCACACGTTTCAGCAGCGGTGAATATTGGCTACCATAAAATTAGTTATAAAATCGCAACAAATGATCCGATTTCAATGATTTATTAATTTAAAAATTTTGTTGAATCATTATTACACTGTAGATTTTGAGTTGATTTGCTGACCTAGTAATGATCCTTATTATTTAATGTGAGCTTTTAAAGTACTTCTTCATTTTGTAAAAATTAATAAATAAGTAAATAGAGTCTGTGCAGAATGAGAAGGGGCGTGGCGAAAAACGGAACTAACATTAAGATTTTTATTTGGCAATCAAACCCAGCAATCTGTAAAAGGTCAAAGTTTTGTATTGATACGGATTTATTTGTTGTTGTGATTTCTTGCGGTTTTTTGTATTTAATCATGTCTAAAAGGGGTAAAACCTTACAAATACGGTAGAAAAGCACTACAGCGCCCTCCAATCTAAATCCCATTCTCTTTCCGCACAGATTCTAGCAGCGTCAATTATGTATGTGTTTATTTATTTATAAAAACATGAAACAGTATGTAAATTAATTAACAATGCTCCAGGAGCAAGAAGCATTTTTCAACTTTATTATCTAAATATTTTCAATATTGGCTGTTGTCGCTGAATGAATATTTAGCTTAGATTAAAACAAAAAGGGAAATTGTGTACAGGTGCACGATAACAATTCGTTTTAGCCATAATGGACATTCAAACACGCGTTGCGTTGCGTTGCGTCGTATTGCGTTTATTATGTATAAGAAAGATAAAGCAATGCCTTCGATGTTTTTATAAAGAACACAAATAGTTTAAGATCAAATAACAAATGCCTCGGAAACACTTCATTCGTAAAACTGTATATACATACATTTTTATACATTTTTTCTCAAAAATCATGGTTTGTCGTGAATGTTATTAGCGTAATCGCCATTTTATTATCAAGAAAAGGACAACAATACAGCTCAGCCGTACGGACTCAGAAGCGGACTCGCCGTTTCGCTCGCGCTGTGTTGAAACGTATAATTCTGTCTCGCTCGCTCCATTGAATGTACCGACATGTGCGTGCATGCGAGTTGCTTAAGTAGTTTAGTCGGAGCATATTTTATTTGATGCTAGTATGAGCGTACCTTCAAGGGCGGATCCAGCTTTGGCGCCAGGGGGGGGTCATATAGTCGTGGTCAAGTCACAGTGGGTACAGATTGTGAAGTGGGTCATGACCCCCATGACCCGTGGGTCATGATCCGCCCTTGCGTACCGTATCTTCCCTTTTTATTTTCATCTAAGAATAAAGGTATTGTTTTACAGAGCAAGACAACTGGATTACACCATAGGCGAAGTACCAATCACATTTGTGGATCGAGTGTACGGTGAATCGAAGCTGGGAGGCTCGGAGATAGTACAGTTTGCTAAGGCGCTCCTGTATTTGTTTGCCACTACTTAATGCATTCCATATTTTTGGGCTAGTGACGACGACA